TCCAAAAGCTTATCCTACAGCAGTACTGATTTATTCTGATTTGAATCCGAATAACAATAACTCTCATGTTTGAATTAGGACCATACTGCAGATTTTTTACTGTTGTAACGCAGTTAAATATACATTTTCCTCTCGGAATTGCCTTTGTGGATTTCAGTCGTCATCTGATAAGTATTTGCGCTAGTGTTGCTCCATGTGGTCAATTGTTGTATCCTATAATCGTTTTTTTTGTAGGATTATGTTTAGCTTGATCATATATATGCCAGTTAGCATTTGGGATTCTTGAAATCTGCTAAAAATCTGTTATTTTTGTGCAAGGCATCTGATGGATTCTAGATTGATTGCTTAGTCAGTCCTGTTCTGGCAGTTAGTTAGCCTTTTTTCACCTCGAAAGGTACTTAAAAAACTAAAATTATTAAATAACACCCAAATATCGATTGACTAAGAAAAGGTGTTACAAAGGTATAGCCGACTAATAGTGCTACTTAATGCAGTCCCATCCAAAAAAACAATGCCTCGAGTCGAAGCTGTGGGGATAAATAAGAATAGGGCTCGGTCGGCGGTAACCTAAATCAAGCGACCGAAATGAGCCAACGCGAAGTTAAATATCCCCTGCTTTCACTAATTAAGTAGGTTGTTATAATGCTTATCCTAAATCTAGTTAGATATCGCCTCATTGGTTGCTGTGCTTCAGTTTGCACTTCTGTAAGAAAATCCTTTTATGGTTTAAGGCCACAAATTACTTTCGCCTCGCCGCCCACATCTCCGGTCTGGCCTTGAGAGCGAACGTGTGCAGCAGAGAGGCCAACTCCTGGTTATCTTACGCCAGTATGATGGAGCGCCTGCTCACACTAACCAACAGCTCCACCTTCTGTCCGCAAATTTCACCCGAATTGCCAGAAGACATCAACCTCCAAGCTGGTGTTCAACTGGCTCGCCACCTTTTCTCCTCCATCATCTGCCCGGCTTTGCAGTTCGAGGATGCCAAGCTGCCCTTTTCTCCGGCAAGGGTTTCAGCCTTTCAGGCTCTACTTTACTGGCTCTGCGGCCACAGCACCAGAGACGCCTGCTTCCCGCAGGATGATCTCATTTGGCTTTACCTTTTCGAGGCCTGGCTCAAGGACAGTCAGCCCGCTTCGGCGACCCTTTTATCCACTTTGGACGACCTACTTCGTCGTCTGCATCGAAATCCTGGGTCGTGTTCCGGTTCACATGCAATGAAAACACCAATGCAATTGTGTTGCCACTCGGACAGCAGTTGTATTTACTGGGACGTCTGGGATAGCGGACTTGGCCGCCTAGGTTTTCTACTGCGTCTGCTTTCAGAGTCCCTCCTGCCCACTGTACTGTACTGTTGTTCAGTTCCTGGAGACGCCGACCACTCATCTCTTGCCTCCCCTAGTTGGGATGCAATGCATGGGCAAGCTGCCATGGCTTTCGCTATTGTCGTCCGAATCATCGATCTAGTCGATTTCATTGCAATACCTTATAGTTTCGGCCGCCTGGGTAAGTGGAGGACGCTGAATTTCCTGTTTTTTTTTACCCCGCGCTGACATCTTACTCCCTCTTATGTGTCCCCTTCCAGATCTTGCCGAATTTGTGTATTGTCTGCGAAGAACAGTGTCCGTCCTGCGAACAGTTTTCTCAAAATTTTCCGACACGTTCTCGGTCAGTAACTTCATTATTTGGACGTTTTCGTATTCTGTCTACTAAATGTTTGTTAGTAGCTTTTGTTGTACGTTTTGATTTTAGTCGGATAACCGTTCCGAAACTCTTGCGGACACTGCCTTCACCAAGTTAGAATTGTGGGCCTTAAACGGCGAGTGTTTAAGAAAGAACCTCGATTTGGAGACCGTTCTTTCTTTCACTGTAAACACACTCCATTGGCTCCAGCATTTGTCCTCGTTAGCCCTACAGCCGGGCGTCCTTTTACCTAACAAAGGTCAGTTGGTTTGCACTCCCACCTTGGCTTTTCTTTATCCTGTCGCGTTTCACGGTTTCAAGTGTCACATTTCGCCACGAGTTTCTTTTTCCGCAGTTGCTATGCGGTCGCAACGTTAACGTCAAATTCTTTCCTCCTATTTACAGTAGGGTGGAGTTGTCAGAAATGTCGAAGTTTGCGAAAGATTGATCATCACTCGCAAACCGACATTAACGCATGAACGAAAACTGGATGATGAAAAAATTTAAAAAAATTGTTACGTAAAAGAAATCTAAGAAGGACGAATTTTTTTAAAGAAATATAAGATTTTCTTAATAATCTCCAAAATTCGGAGACGTGAAAAATAGCTATATATTAGAACAGTAAATTTAAATCTCTCCTTAAGTTGAATGGCTAACCACCTCACTTTCTTTATATAAAAAGAACTTTTCCTTAGCCAAAATATTTTAGCCATGTCGCTGTTATTTAATTACAATTACTTACAGATTGAGCTTTAAATTCCGAAAAATGTTCGAGTGTTTTCAGTGTTGTCCCTCTTTCGTCCATAAATACAGATTATGTTTGAAGCTTATGTCAATACCTTTAAAATAAGATATCAATTAAAAACATTAAGCGAAAAAAGTGTGCTTTTGGATATTAGTTTTTGTGAGGACGGCCATGTCGGTCATATTTAGAAATTCTTCCAAACAGCAAAACACACTGTCGTGCAAAAAGAACATCCGTAACAGAATTCTTATAGTGTTATTCCTAAGATTGATCGAAAAAATTCTATAATAGGTTACCTCTTTAAAAAGCACTCTAATTGGATATTCAGCTAAGCGATATCTGTACATGTTACCCTTTTCCAAAGCAAAGCAAAATGGAAATAGAGATTTTTGACAGTTTTTTAAAGTTATACCTCAAGGTAAACAATACAGTTTTGCTGGAAATGAAGGAACTCACTTTTCTCTTTATATTGAAGTATTTTCCACCATGGTGGATTTCTTCTAGGCTCTGTTCTAAGCTTGCGATTACAAAAAGTGGTCGAATATGTAGTTAGATTTTGATATGATTATTATTCTTCTGTCTGTTCCGTTCCTAAATTACGCATAAGCGGAAATTACGGTGTACAAAAAGTATATTTCTCCATGCTTTATATTTAAAAAATGAACTTTTACCTTCATCTTGACGATACTATATGGGCAGTTTTTGGTTACGCTCCACATAGTCGATGTGGTAGAATAAAAGGCTGCCAAAACTTGTTGTTAGTGTATTTTGTAGCAGAACGCTTCCATGGTTAGCAAAAAAGAACTTTTAAAACTGAAATTCTTGCTTGTTTCTGGAAATAAATGTGATTCCTTAAACTCTTCTTCACATGCATTTTATCAAATTCAGACGATATCTTCCGGTTCTGAAAGGGATATCTTTTATATTTCTCTTACTTATTTTGGGGTTCTGTCATGACACAATGCATAAAAATAAAAGTTTTGGTTCTTGCATACCTTCGATGTCAGGCTACCTAGGATTTTGCCAAAATTAATGCCGATTACCGTCAATAAACTGAACTAAAAAGATATTTTCCCTACTAACAGACTTTCTAAGGATTAAGTCCACTCATTGGATCAAAATAACATGACCAAATATACGCTAAAGTCCCTAGTCAAATTTCGCCAAGACTTTTGCACGGCCTCCTTGCCGAACTCTAGTGCTTGCTATAGGTCTACATATCTTCATTGCCAGTATATGCCAAGGTGTGATCCGCAAAAGGTATCCAAAAACCAACTTTAACGACAGCACATCGAATTTACTCTCGACTAAACCATCCTTGGCCATTGGAAACAAAATCAACTGGTTTACCGGCTCGGACCATCTATTGGTGCATGAGAAAGGGAAGAAAGCGGTTTACTTAGCCCATTTTTCCTCAATATAAACAATATGACGCGCTTCAGACTACCATGGTACGCTAAAAGCTGTGGCTTAAATGGCTGCTAACTGACGGGTTAAATATCCACCTTTCGTGACCGAGAGTCAGGTTACAAAGATTCCCTCATAATGTGGCCTTTCTGTCGCTTCTACGCAGTTGGAATCCCAACCACAACTTGGCTCCCCTTCTTGGCCTGAGAAATCGTGCTTTATTGTGCGAAGACTAGGGAATGTGGTGGAACGCCTAAGAGCGGGTTCATGCTGCGCCAGCCACCTGTGCCCTATCGCGCATTTTCTGCACATAAGGCCCACATGCGTGAAAAGAGTTAGTACCGTAGATGTAGTGCCTGTCTGCTATTAAACAATTCATGCGCAAGTCACCGTTCTTTCGCCCAACATACTTGACAGTGAAGGTGAAACTCGCACCTAGATGGCTTCCATTCATTGGGCGACTTGTTCGTTCGTGGTCACAACCGTTTTAGTTACCCATTGTACAATCAGTTAGATGCCGTGTAGTATAGGCTATAATAGTTACAGCCCAGCATACTTTGCCATGGTCCCATTCATGCATAAGTGATCATGGCGTCCCTACCAGGGCCGTGTTGGTTCTTGTGGCCCGTCGTTGCAGTCACATTTAAAACTTTTTTGAATCTTTCAAACGATTTGATGGTCAGTATTGTAAGTTTTGATTATCCAGTGTCCCGTCGATTACATATGCTTGTTATGCTAGACCTTCTTGACATCGTAAAACCGTCTCTGGATATTATCTTTGAGTAAAGTGTACCCACTATGTCTTCAACTATGTCCTTTTTTGTAGATCTGATGACAGCTGAAACAGCTCAATTAAATACTAGCAGCAATAGTACAGTTTATGACTCACAGCTATCGTCGCTGTTCATGGACGGAGTTCAGATGGTTTCGATGTTGGCCACCAAAACCGGTTTAGTGGACTCAGCTGCTTTGCCGCTCCTTTGCATCCTTGTGGAACTCGTGGCAACTCTTTGCCCAAAGACTAATGGCATGCGGAATTTTATGGTAAGTAAAGTTCTCCCCCACTTCATAACTTCCACTGTAGAACGAGTTGGTCACTTTCATGAAAATTCATAATTACAATTCGATTCTTAAGAAACCTCTGACCCTTCTGATCAAGTTAGGTTGCATACGAATTACATCGAGTCTTGGAAGGTAGGCTGATCCGTCTACAGCTAGCCCCCACAGACAGTCCCATAGCGACTATTAACAACGAAAAAGTAATGCTTACAAAGGTAAAGGAGGTTAGGACTGCTAATTCTGTTTTATTAGCTATCGTTAACTCGGTCGTAGGATTAAATTTGAAGTCAAACAAATCTTTTGGAAAGTTCCTAAAGATTTTTCCTCCTCAAATGTTCGACGCTCATTTTACGGGTTATTTTCAAACGTACAGCAAGTGTGCAAATTATTTGATCCCCCAGATGTATCTTCAAGGTGACTAATTGTCTGGGTAGTGCGTCAGCGTACGTTCGCTGTATATCATCCTACCGTTTTAGTTGATTTGCGGCTTTTTCATTTCTCTCTTTAAAAGGACTACATACATCCCCACACTCTAGCTATCGATTAAGGGCGACTTACCGAGCCTATAGTTTTCACAAAAATGTCGGTCTTGGATTATTAATAAGTTCTGTTCCCGACAGACCTTAGTCCTCCGAGTCCGGAGTGTACACGAGACAGGTTGTTTTAAATCGCTGTTGATTGCTATGTGCATATGTGTTTCCGTCAAACTTGTTTCCTAGGTCATCGCAACAGCGGGGGAAAGATTTAGAACGCTGGGAGGTGGTTAGTTGCCCTGCTACAACAGCCCATTTTCACAACCAACGTTCACCAATTCACCCTGATTGCAAAATGTACACATGGATTAGTGTTTTGACCTGTATTCTCGTTCTGCATGAGAAAAGCTGTCTTTTTCCTGCAATTTTATAGAAAGACCTGCCATCGAATAGTGATGGGTTTCGCTGAAGTTTTATTCACTATAAATAACAACCGACTCTTCAATCGTCGTTTCGGACTGATGCCCACCGTCTGCTCCGTAGCAGGCCAAGCATAAGGGCGGTGCTCGCTTGTGTACTTGTTTAAAATTATAGTAGACTTTCGCTGCATCCATCGCACTTTTTGCTACTCGCCTACGTGTGTCCAGTCTGTTGACTAGAAGGAATAAGTACATTTACCGGGCTCTCGCCCATCCGGGTACGGTGTCTTGACAAAGTCAAGAAAACGGGTGGCAGTATCACGAACAGGTGTCTGACGTTGCATGAGCCGGCGCCTTGGCGTACGATCACACCTCCCCATGTCTGGCGTTTGTTATGAGTGAGTGAATAACACATGTCATACCCGGTCGAAACCTCGGGCTGTTCCAACGCATCTACCCCGTCGCATGAGCACATGAACAACAACCAAAATGAAATTTGCATTATATGCGGTGTTGAAGATAATGCAAGCACATCGTGTAATATTAGGAACGGTAGAATCATGACGTTGGAAGCCATCAGCTGCTAACTTTGCACATTCAGAGTCAAGATGCGAGGAAGCCTAGAGCGACCATTTCTGACTTTGCAAATATTCCCATGTTTGACTTGAAAAGTTTATTTGGCAAACCCATATTTTCGGCACTTCATCATCGGGTCGGTACAATTGCATTGGTAATTGTACAGAGTTAATAAGTGTCTTATGATTGCAACTCATCGTTTTCGCATCCCCCGCATAGTGAGGTTGGCGTGTCGAGGTCATTGTGCTGGAGTAGG